GAGCAATTATGAGAGGAAAATCACTGGCAACAAAATGAAGGTGAGGCATAAGATCTCAATGCTGTCAAGGCAGCACACCTGGAAAACTGCTGGGAAATCTAAGCAGTGATGGAGGCAGGAAACTTTCATCTTTAATTATGAGGAAATTGGTGAATAAGAGAGCCGTCTGGTGCGCACAGGCTAGCACTGGAACTTGACAGTCAGCTTACCGACAGTTACAGACTCACCTGTGAAGCATCTAAAGATTTCAGGGAATAGCAGTGCCTGCAGACTTGGAGGATTAGTTGAGAGGTATCACAGGAAACTCAGGAAACCAATTTTTCCCTCCCAATTTGCAGCCCGAGAGGCTTTCAAACTAGTCGATTAAGTTGCTTTAAAAAGGAGAAGGGAGAATTATAGAAAGATTTTTAGTATACTTACCTAAATCTTGTGTTAGCACCTATAAGTTCCACTATTATTTTCTCATCATTTACAAATGCATATATGCACATAATAACAATAAGCTCTCTGAGAAAAGGAATGAATACTTACTGAACCAGACTGTCAGATCTGGAAGAGCCCTTGGAACAAAGAATGTCTGAACTAGAAGAGAGAGCCTACTCTTACCCCACCCTCTTTCCACCATTTTACAGGTGGGAAAACAGGCCCAGAAAAGAAAAGGGACTCATATAAAGTCACAAAGGGCAGCTAGGTGGAACAGTGGATAGAGCACTTATCTTAACAGAGTTCAAATCTGGCCCCAGACATTTACCAGCCGTGTGATCCTAGGCAAGTCATTAGCCCTGTTTTGCCTCAGTTTCCCTCATCTGTATACCTTTGACAAGAAAATCCTAAATGGGGTCATGAAGAGATGGACAAGACTGAAATGATTAAATAACGCAAAGTCACAAGGAGTTAAAAGGAAAGGCTAGGGTTAGAACGTAGATCTCTCAAATCCCTTCCACGAACACTGTCCGAAGCACCTAAGGCCGTGCTCACGAAACTGAGCACATGGCAAGTGTTCAGTAAATGTTTGTTGAACAAATATAATGAGCACATAAATCTCCTGCTTTTCATTGCTGTCCTCTGCCATGGTAGTGGACAGTTATTTATTTCTCTGCCCCCCCTCTAGATACTGATATAAAAATCACTAGAGTGTAGTAGGGAATGGGGAAGGGCTCTTCTTGGCCTGACACAGCTCAGGGCTTCAGAAGTTGATTATAGAGTTGTTGCAGTTCCTAGCTCAGCTGATTGAGTTTCAGAAATGGAATGAAAATTCACAAACCTGACTGAGCTGCCTTTTGGGGGAGGGGGCAGGGCAGAAGGGAAAGAGAGCAGGGAGGGATCCCTCAGTAAACCAGAATGACCATTAAATGCCCCTCCAACAATGCCCAGGCTCTTTCGGGTCAAAATCTTCAAGGGGCAAAGTCAAGGAGAAAGCTATGGTGCAACCTCTAATGGTGCAGGGCACAGAGAGGTCTCTTTTCTGCTGGCTGGTCATCTCAGCCAGCACAGCAAGGGGAGTGGACAGGCCAATCTTAATTGGGTTCCACCAGACATTTCCTGGCTTTGAACAAAAGGTGCCTCTAGGGGAAAATCCTGTCTTTATGTTAAGATAAGAGAATGCCTTTCAGTCGAGCATTAGAAACAGTCTTTCTCTCCTCTTCCCCCTCAAAACAGAAATAACCCCTAACCTTGTTTTTGCTCTTGATTATATGACTTCAGGCAAGTCCCCTTTAATTCTAGTGCCTTCCCTTAGCTGATTATTTCCTATTTATCCCTATAGTTTGTACATAGTTCTTAGCATGTTGTCTCCCCCCTTAGATTGTGAGCTCCCTGAGAGCAAAGGACTGTTTTTTGCCTTTCTTTGCAACCCCAACATTTAGCACAGTGCCTGGCACATAGAAGTAGGTGCTTAATAAATAATTCCTGACTGACTGCCCTGAACTTTAGAACCTTCCTAAGATGGGCATGACCTCTATCTCTCCTCCCCTGTGACTTAATGAGAAGGCTGGTTGAAAGCTGAGCTTCTTTGAGACAGATGCTGTGGCAGTATAAGGCTGTATTATTTGCTCAAGCTTCTTCAACTGAAAAGGTCAAAGTAGCAAAGGGCATTTGGAAAGATTTGGTAAAGCCAGCTGCTTACACCCATCAATAAAAGACAGCATCAGATATACATTCAGCTCATACTGCTTGGGATGGGGCTGGGGAGGGATAGGGGCTACGGACAGCAGGAATCAATGACTCATCTCAATTCTGAGCTTTGCATTTTCAAATGCAATCATGAATAATATTTTTTTCAGCTACTATGTAATTTGGAAGGAAAGACACCCCCCTCCCAAAGCTGGCACTGCAATTAGAAAATTAGTAGAATAAGATTTGGGTACACGGATACAGAAGGTCTCTTTGTATCCCTACCCCCTTCATAAGGAAAGTACCATAATAGAAGGAAGATTTCACTGAAAGATTCAGAAGGCAGCCTCCAGAAGGTTGGGCAGATCCTATATGAAGGACTTCTACAGGGACAAGAACCACTCATGAAAAATGAGAGGCAATCTCCACATTGATGAGATAGAAATAGATGATGGTAACCAAACTGGGGTCCCTGAATCCCAGAGGTGGCAAGCATCAAAGCCAGGGAGTGTACACATTCACATTGTTCCACCTAGCCAAGACAGATGTAAAAGATACTCTTTTCCTTTTCCCTAAGAGGGTTGCAGAGTTGGCTTTACTGTCTCCTTAATAAAGGTAGCACATACACAATTAAGATTTAAAAAGGCTAAAAGGCAGCATGACATGGTGGACAGAGGTCTGGCCTCAGAGTCAGGAAGACCAGGGTTCAAGGCTCACCTCTGAAATATTCTGGTTGTGGAACACTGAGCTAGTCAGTTAATCTCTTGGTGCTCTAGATCAGAGATGTCAAGCTCAGACAAATAAATAACAAAATAAATAAAAATACAACAGAACATAGAAAATGTTAATGTGTTTTTCTAAGTCAATGTGCTGACACAATTTCTATTTGAATTTGACTTTGCTGCTATAGACAACTCTCTGAAACAAATGCTGCAGAGAAAATGCCATTCTGTATTGGGAGAAGAGATTTCCTCACCGGGACAACCTCATGCCAAGGAAATCACAGATCCAGCTCCTGATCAGTCCAGAAAAGGCTGTCCAATAACGTTAAAGAAAAATCTGGTGAAAGTCAGTTGGCAATAAGAAGTGAGAGCTGTCATCTTCTAAGAGTAGAATTGGCTCTTTCAAGAAGCAAAAACACAATTCACATCAGAAGAAGGACACTTAAGATGTTGCAATTGTTGTTGTTCAGGTGTGTCAGACTTCAGGACCCCATTTGGCATTTTCTTGGCAAAAATACTGGAGAGGTTTCCCAGTTCCTTCTCCAGCTCATTTTACAGAGGAGAAAACTGAGGCAAACAGAATTAAGTGACTTGCTCAGTATCACCCAACTAGTAAGTGTGTGAGGCCCAATTTGAATTCAGGAAAATGAATCTTCCTGACTCCAGGACTGGTACTCAATTCACTGTGCACCTACCTGACCCACCCTTAATATAACAGTACAGTATACTGGGACAGCTAGGTAGTACAGTGGATAGAGTGCTGGCCTGGAATCAGGAAGATCTGACTTCAAATCCAACCTCAGACACTTACTAGCTGTGTGACCCTGGGCAAGTCATTTAACCCTTATTTTCCTCAGTTCCTCATCTGCAAAATGGGGACACACTAGAGAAAGAAATAGTAAACCAGTATCTTTGCCAAGAAAACCCCATGGTCTTTGTCCATAGACATAGAGTCAGACACAGCTGAACAATAACTGTATATGAGACAGTTGTACTTTATTATCTTGAAGAAAAAAAAAAGGCACAGGAGAGCAGACCAGCATTTTTGAAGAATAAATTTGACTTCCTTTGTCTCTTGACCAAAAGTCTCTCTTTGCATTGGCAAGGCTGCAAGTAAAAAAGTAATGCCCTAATAAGTGGCCCTTACCCAGCACGGACAGCATTTTAAACCATGACAAGGTTGTGTATCAAAACCAACAACATTACTTCTCACTAAACACAACACCCTACCCCTAATTTCTATGGTTTTGTAAATTCTGGCCCTTAAAAATAAACACTTTCTGCCACAGATACTTCAAACAGCTTGTCCAGCAAGGCTACAAAATTGTCTGTTTGTATATACAACCACCAAGTAACCAGGTAAAAACGACAATATTTTTAAACACTGCTACCAGAAAACTGTAACAAGGCACTCCCCAGGAATGGGGTGGGGCAGGAGGGGACAAGCCAGATATCTGGAGATAAAAGGATAGTTGTAAAAGGCCTCCACCCTTCCAGATCAATTATAAGCAGGCAGAAGAGCTGTTCTGAGAATATTGGAGCCAACTTTTCCCGTCACTATCCTGAAATGACTCTTCCTTAATAAAGTTCATTTGTTTAAAAAAGCGAAACCAATCCAATTCTTGAAGGCAGAGTCCATTCAGGAAGAAGGAGAGGAGGAGTTAGAGCCGAGATTCGCAAACTAGGGGAGGTGCTAAGGGAGGGCCCAGACAACTGTCAGTGACAAGAAAATCCCTGTCCCTCTATTCCTTTTCTCCTTCGCTGCTCTCTCTAGTTTCTCCCCAATTTACCCGTGCATGGTTCAGCCCAGCCGGGGGCACTTGAGGCTAATCACCTCCTGAACTCAGGGTTAGGGGAACTAGCAGGACAGCACGAGTTTTAGAAGCCCTATCTTCTATTCCTTACTCCCATTTTATGCTCAGCTACATCTATGAAATGGGATAAAGGAGAAAACGATGGGACCCAGGAGTGGTGGAAGGAAGAAGGAATGAGAAATCGATAATCTAAGTCTTTCTCTGTCACTTAGCTGTGTGACCACAGGCAAGCCTCTTGGAGGCTTCATTTCCTGATCTGTAAAATGAGGGAGTGGGACTGGAAGGTCTACAAAATTCCTTCCAGTTCTAAATCTTTCTCCAATCCCACCTCCCCAGGCCCAAAGCCACCTACCTGGGACATCTGTGGCCTGAAGTTGATATCTTTGAGGTCTATAGATCCAGGTGAGAGGTTGTGTAGCAGCTGACACAACAGCACTCCATCCCTCAGCGCCTGGGCCAAGTCGAAGACCACGGCCGAGGGCCACACTACCCTGTGGTTGGGGGGCAGGACTTTGCAGTCAATGAGCCAGCGGCCGCACTGCCGCCACTCCTCCATGGTGGCGGCGCCCGACGGGCCAACCAAAGCCAGCCGGCTCCCACTGCCTCCGACCCAGAGCCCGGCGTCGGAGGAACGCGACAGAGTCAGTGTCCGCTCCCACGGGTGCAAAGACTCAGGGTCCTGCTTGGCTCAGCTTAGGGCTCAAGACGAACCTCGTGGGCCCGGAGAAAGGAAAGTGCACATGACCCGGGCCATATCTTCCGAACTCCGGGTTGTCCCCCAAGAAAGGAGAGAAGAGAGACAGGGGGTAGGGAGTAGGCGTCTGCTTCTCTCTCCTATCTGTTTTCCAGGAGACTTTCTCCTCCCGCAAAGTGCCTCAGCTCTTCCCCACCAGCATCCGCCCCCAGTCAATCTCCTCCTGGGCGGAGAGGTTTCAAGCCCAGGCGCTGCCTGTGGGCGGGGGGCGAGGCGATCCAGGGGAGTTCCCCGGAGGCAGCACACTTGGCAGAGCCGACCACTCTCCCAACGCACCACGGCAGGGTCGCGTCCCCCGAGGTCTCCACGTGTGTCCAACACCTCTGGCGCGGGAAGCTCGAGCCTCTCAGCCCTAAGCTGCGGTTTGGAAAGCCAAGAAAAAGTCCCCAGACTCTTCGGCCCAAGCCAGGTCCTCCCTTCACACCCACAAGTCTGGGGCTTGGGGGGAGGTTCAGCTGCCCGCGCCCGCTGCTGTCCGGAGCGCGCTGAGCTCCGGGACCGGCCAAAAGCGCCGCATTCTCTGCCCGCCCGACTGGCCGGGGCGCACACAGCTGCGGCTCCGGGCGGCCCCTTCTTGTAGCGCTCCCTCTAGGAAGTGTCCCCTCCAGAAGACAAAGAGTCCCGTCCTCCCTCTCCCCGTGCCCGCCCGGCAGCCCCCCGCCGCCGCCGGCTGCTGCTCCTTTGTTTGCCCGGATGGCTCGCTCTCCCCGCGCCCCAGCGCTGGCTCCGGGTAGGAGGTGGCTCGACTTTCTTCTCCGGCTACCCCAGACTCTGCTCCGCGCCGCTCCTCTCCCGTCCTGTCCTCAGTTCTCCCGTCCGCTCCGCTCGGCTCAGCTCTGCTCCTCTCCGGCGCCGAGGTGCAGACTAACTACAGCTGGAGCGACTGCAGGCTACGCGTTCCCGGAGAACCGGCGCGGAAGGGAACGCGCGCCCGGTGGACGGTAGAGAGCGCGCGCCCTTCCTCTTCACTCACACTCAAACGGGCGCGCGCAGGGAGCTCCTCCCTCTCTTTTCTTCACCTCCTTCCTTCTCTCCCTCCTTCTAGTCTCCGGTTTTCCTAGCAAAGAGAGAAAGTTACAAGAGGTTTGAGCCCGTGTACGGCCCGTCTAGAGATGCTCTCGCAAAGAAGGGAGCAGAGAGGTTGCACTGTCATAAGACCTCCCCGGACCCTGCCCCTTGTCTTTCCTCTCGACTGCTCTTAAAGACTGGGGACCCTCACAAGAATGCCTCCCTTGGCACGCTCTTAGCCAAGGTTTGGGACGCGGAGGAGGAAGGGGGTTGGGGACGGAAGAATTCGGAGAGCATCCATCAGCTCCTCTGCATTGGCCTGCTCTCTGTACGAAGGTTACTCTTCCTCCTTTTCTCCTCTTCCTCCTTGGAGCAAAGGTTGGGAATACCCCTCCCAGACGCCGGCTAGCTCTGGAGCTCCCTGCTCGTCCTTCCTCCCGTTTGCGAACGCTGGCGTCTTGGATGGAATAAATGTGAAATGTGGAAACGCGAAAGAGGAAATGGAACTGCGGCAGTTCCCCTTCAGCCGGTCCCCAGCCCGGGGACACAGCATCACCTCCACCCACGCTGCAATTTAGCCTGAGCAGGATACTAGGCTTGAGCCCCCTTAGCTCTGTTAACTCATTGCTCACATTTTCAACTTCTCCCTGCCGGTATGTTCCAGTGTTGGACGGGAGGAGAGGGGTTGAGGGAAATAGCTTCTCAGCACGGATTTCTTGACAGGGAAACTGAGGCAGCAAGTTTTTTCACAAGCAGCCTGAGCAGGATGAGAATTTACTAAATGTTAACAAATGATAATGCCTAAAGTAATAATCGCACCAGCTAACAATTATATGGCACTTTAAGGTTTGCAAAGCACTTTTCTCACAACTCCATCAAGTAAGTGAATTTATCATTATATAACCCCATTATGCAGATGAGAAAAAGAAAACTCAGTGAGGGGAAGTGATTTGCCCAAATCACACAATTAGTGTTAGAGTCTGAACTAGAATTCAAATGTTTTTGGTTTTTTTTTTCCATTATACTGAACTGCTCATGAGAGCCTGGGAATCCTAACTTGGGCTTTACGTTTATGGGGTTAGAAATAGCCAGTTAGTATGTTCCCGTTTCTGTACATTTTAATTTCAACCTCGAACAAAGGTATTAAACTCAATAGAAGGGAAAAGCTTCCTAATAACTGAATTGTCATAAAATGAAATGGGTTGCCTTGTTAGGTAGTGAGCTTTCCATAACTAAAGGTATTCAAGCAGAAAGTAGATAACCGACTGCTTAAGGGGGACGTTGTGTATGGAAACTCCTGATTCCTTACATATGATGAGATTCCTTTCAACTAACATTTTTTGAGCACCTACTCAGTAGAAGGCATTGGGTATGTGTAAAAGTTGACTAGGGTTCTCCTGGAACCATAGAAAGAATGAGTCAGCTTTGTGTAGAGACCTGGCATTCTACACATTTAAAGGCTGATCCTTGATGAGTTTGAGGTGTTCAGGAGAATAGAGAGAATTTTTTAAATCCCAGAGTCTATAAAGGAACCACTTTCCTTCCCTCCCCAACAGAATAAAAATGGGTCTGAAGGAAAGGTGACCTCACTCATTTTAGCAGCTAACCCTGGAATGTGTCAGCTTCCTTCCAAAGGAAAAAAAAAAGTTACATAGCCATGCCAGTGATTACAACTGCTTTGAGCCCTAGCAGGATGCAGTTTACCTACAGAGATTATTTCTAGATATCATCCACAAAGATGCCTAGATAGAAAAGGGCCGAGGACCCACAAAGTTCCCAGTTTCAAAGTTCCCAGCAGCCAAAGGCTTTCTCTCCTTGACAGACTAACACAGTAGCCCTGGATAATTGGTTAGATTACAATCTGTGGACTCAGACCTGGAAAGACCACCAGAACATAGAATATCAGCGCTGGAAGGAACCTTAGAATAAAGAACATACAATGTCAAAAATGGGAAGGACCTTATAATATGTTGGTTGGTGCTGGAAGAGATATTAAGAGTCATTTAATAGAATCTCTTCATTATACCAAAGAGAAAACTGAGGCCTACTTACCCAAGTTCACACAGTTAAATAGTATTAGAGCTAAGCTAGCATTTCCCCGGTACCATCCAAAGCATCTCTCCCAATTGTTTGATAATTACCTTAATATATTTTAGTTTCATCTCCCCAGTGAGATTACAAATACCTAGAGGGCAAGAACTGTTTCTCTTAGAATGTAAGCCTAGTGTTGGCTAAGCATTTGTATTTGATAAATATTTGTTGGTTGAATGAATAAAGAAAGGGGAAGGAAAAAAAATATCTCTGCCCATATTTCTGCTTTGCCGGTTTGTTTGTTTTTTTCCCTTCAACAGCCTGACCTGGTGTGTGTCCATGGTAACAAGTAGCCTCTCATTAAGCCACATGCTTTGGGGAGATTCAGACAGTTTATTCCTTATGCTTTCTCCCTGGGCCCCTAAGTCTCTCCATGCTTCTGTGAACAGAGACAGAGGCTGGGAATATGAGTAGAGAAAAAAAACCATAACTTTCCACCAATAAAGCAAGCATTGATCTGCTGCCCCCTATTGGGCTCCAAAGGTAGATAATGAATCTATTTTTCCTCCCACTCCCTAAATGCTTTGTGTTGGAATTGGGATACTGCTCAGCTATTCATTTTTGAGAGGATGACACTAATAAAGAAATGAAGAAACATACTATAATTCTTTTTTTTTTAAAGACTAAATGATCATTTTCAGTAATGTGCCCAGGAACAGTGCCCAGGAAACCAGTAGTGAAATGACAAACATTGCAGGTTTACATCCTAGGGAGGGCATGTAGTGATTTTATAGTTTGGAATATGAGAATGAGATTTGAAAATAAGTCACAGGGGCAGCCAAGTGTCAAAGTAGATAGAACATCAGTCCTGGAGTCAGCAGGACTATAGTTCAAATCCAACCTCAGACACTTTCTAGCTGTGTGATCCCGGGCAGGTCACTTAACCTTGATTACAAAGAAAGAAAAGAAAAAAGGAAGAAAATAAGTCATAGACATTCAGGTTTTAAATTCTAAGAATCACTTTTAGGGTCAGACTCATCCTCTGTCCCTCTCCAGAATATATTATATATTCGATAAATATATAGTCAGTATTGATCTGAGTATATATTATTTCCTATGTCTCTCTTCTCCTATAGAATATAAGCTCCTCAAGAGCAAGGATGGTCTCATTTTTATATCATTTCTTTTTTCCCCTCAACACCTAGCAAAGTACCTGATACATAATAGGCATTTAATAAAAAATAATTGTTGAATGAATGAACAAAATGATAATCCTTTATTTCATTTCTCTTTAGAAAGCACTTATTAAATATGTTCTAGGCACTATAGTAGGTACCGAGAATCCAAAAATAAAAACAAGGAGCTAATTAGAATCACAAAACTTAAAGGGACCTCAATGGCTATTTAGTCTAAACCCATACCCAAGGGCATCCCTACCAATAAGTGCCTAAGTAGTCCTCCAGAGTCTGCTTAAAGGTTTCCAAGGAAGAAAAAGCCACCATTCCACTTCTGAATAGCTCTACTTCTTTGGAAGATTCCCCTGAAATCAAGAGTAAACTGGCCTGTTCCCAGCTCCTTCTCATTGCTTCTGGTTGTACCCTCTAGATAAATAAAATGAGTCTAATTCATCTTTAACATGACAATCTTCAACTATTTGAATTCAGCTATCACATTCCACCCTGAGTCATCTCTTGTCCATGTGAAAAATCCCCAGTTGCTTTACTTTCACTCTCCTGGTTCCCTCCTGTACCTTATCAATGTCCTTCTCAAGCTCTGAAGCCCAAATCTGAACCCAAAACTCAAGATGTGGTATGACAAAGACAAAGTATAGAGAGACTATCGCTTCCGTATTCCTGGAAGCTAGGCCTTCCCTAATGCAACCAAGATTCCATTACCTTTTTTGATGGCTGAATCACACTGCTGACTCATGTTGAGCCTGCAGTACCCTAAAACTTCCACAATTGTTTCAAACGAACTACATCATAACTATGCCTCCCCAATCCTGTACTTTGTGAAGTCAATGTTTTGAACCCCAAAATAAAACTATCCAATTTTACCTTCTTGATTATACAGTTCAATACTTTAGCCTAGAGGGGCTTAAACTGGAATCCCTCTCTAGTGGTACAGGGATCCTTGAACTTAGATGAGAAAAAAAAAGTTAAATCTTTATTTTTACTAACCTCTAACTGAAATTTATTTAGCATATTCTTTTATTATGAATTTTTTAAAAAGACTATTATTCTGAGAAGGGTCTATAGACTTCATCAGATTGTCAAAGGTTAAGAACTTCTGTTCTATCCTGTCAAGAAATTTTTATATTTTGGCTGTCATGCAGTGTGTATAGCTATCCCTCCTACCTTTATATCAACTGCAAATCAGATGAGTACACTAATTTTTTTCACTTTATCTAGCTCCTCAATAAACATGTG